AGGAAGTCCAATGTATGCCTAGATTCAATGATATAACAATTAATATATACTATAGGTGCATGGTTCAATATAAATTAAATTGGGACAATATACCTATAATTATGATTAGTTGTAATTTTATATATTTGGTATAAGTATTCCCTATTTAAAAATCTAAAAATATATAAACAGTAAACACAGTTTTGTCAGTTGATATTCTAAGTAAACATTTGGAAGAAATTGTATATTTAAAAGGAATGTAAAGATTTTATTTAGTTTGTTGTAATTTAAAAAATATTATTTAAGATTACTTAAAATATTTAAAGTGTATAAGGATCCAGCATGTAATATTATTATATTTATTTTATACAGCCGATGACATTTTCAAATGTAATTGTTTTGACAACAATTAATTCAACCTACTGTATTATTATAGTGTCTAATAATAAAATAAATTACATAAATAGCAATTATAGAATGAAATATACTTAGTTATATAATAAACCATCTTCGCTCTGAATCGTTTTTTGTTTACAATAGTTTAATATATATCGTCGAATTCAGATTTAACGCAATAACCAATATGTCACCTAGAATATAGCTGACTGATGGTACCCATTTTCCCGCCTTCTTTATTTTTTAAGTTTATGTACCAGTAAATATGACTTACGCTGTATAAAATGTACAAAAATGCCGTTAAAAGACAACAAAAATGCGTTTATAGTTAAACCAACTAAAAATTGAAAAATTCGCAAGATATAATTAATATATAATAGATTTAATAAATCTTCTGGTCTCTAAACGGATTTAAAATTTGTTCTAGAATCTGGAGGATCAGAAAAAAAATTTCATTTCATCAACATTCAAAGTATCTTTAACCCTTCTAATCACAATTATTATAATGTTAATTTCTTATTTTAATAGGCACTTGCGCTAATAATGGTTTATAGTTACTTCATTATATAATGATATACCTATAGGTACAGTCATTAGATTGCAACTCACCTGAATGAAAATATCTATTTCTTATTATATGTCATAAATATACTAATATAGCTACATGTATTATATTATATTACCAATTTATTATTCAAATATAACAATTTTTTTTTCTTTTTGGTGAATTTTTAATATATATCAAACACCCACAAGTTAAAAACTTCAAGGTATATTACCCGAATGAAACCATATCGTTTTAAGTTGTTTTTTTTTTTTGTATAAAATCGTAATACTGCATGTTATGAACCTACGCGACACATCTCTGGTCCATACCGGATTCTTATGGATTATGAGATTCACTCAGCATCTTCCATAACAATGATTCAAGGTAGTCTAGATTTAACGTGTACTATATGTATTTTATATTCACCCGTGGGGGTAAACATGACTATATATACTGTGAATACTTAAAGTTTAGCACACGCATTTGCAATCGCATTAAGTCTTTTGCCGTTCACCGAATCGTATCATCTACAAAACACATTCAACCAACAATGCAGGGGCTTAAGGTAAGTGTTTTTCATGAAATTATTATCTGCCTACTTTGTGTTCGTATAGGCTTTGGTCGAACGACAACGAATTCTCCATCGATTATACATATCGTGTTTTTGTGAAGTCTKCGAATATCGTCGTCGAAACGTGTTCAATAATATMTTATCTMTTCACTGTATTTTATCGTCTACGACCTATTTCCTATTGATCTCTCAGGTCTTGTCTAAGACTATACAAACACTGTAGTSGACCRTTCTAGAGACTTTAACGCCTACTGCATTTATGGGTCTCACCACTTCGTTAACTCCGTTGTTTCAGACTGTGGGTTTGCTGTGCGCGACTTTCGCCTGCTTGGCGCACGCCGCTGTGATTGACGAGCCGTCGGCTCCTGCTCAATACGAGTTCAGCTACGCGGTCAACGATCCGACCACTGGTGACCAAAAGGACCAACAGGAAACGAGAAACGGCGATGACGTGAACGGTTACTACCGCACCGTGGACTCGGACGGTTTCCTGCGCACGGTCAAGTACAAGGCCGACGCGGTCAACGGATTCACCGCTGAAGTCGTGCGGGAGCCCGTCAGCGGCGCCACCGCCGCCGTGCCGATCGTCGCAAAGGCCGCCGCCGTGGTCAAGCCGGTCGCCCCCGTCGTGCCGTACGTCGCACCAGTCCCGTACGTCGCACCAGCCCCGTACGTCGCCTCGCCGGCGCCTTACTACTTCGGTTCGTCCGGTTACCCGTATAGCTACCAGCCGTACTCGTACGGTTACCAACAGTACCCGTATGGAGCTGCTTACTCGCCGTACTCGTACAGTCAGTACGCTTACAACGGCCCATACGGCTCACCGATCGTCCGCAAGTAAAACAATAAATGCACGAAAAACGGGTTACCGACACGCGTGTTCATAACACCTGACGTTCGTCCTGCGGAATGTTGTTCGTCCGACGTTTCGCCGGCAACAACGAGTCGAACTTAATATTAATTTCTTCGATATTGTATTTTCTTTTGTCTTAAAATTTGTATMTCTTTATTATTACATTGTACTTACGATAATCTTTGTTATTATGTAAACAAAAGTAATCACATCGATCAATAAATTGTACGTCCAAGTATTTATTTGTTTCTTTCATTCACACACACACACACACACACTAACCTAACGCATTTTAAGTTTTGCATATTTTGCTCGTTATTAGGTACCTATTTACACAATAATAGTTGTTACAAAGCTTTTATTATAGCACCTGTTCAACCACANAATTTGATTTTTTTATAGACTTGATAAGCGTAAAAATACGCGGTTTTCTATTTATTTTTAGAATTACTGAAAATTTTGCTTTTAACCATCCTTAAGTATCAAATAGATCAAATTTGGCACCAGAAACCATTTCGAAGATAAAAAATTGTTTCTTCTATACACAATCTATACAGATACATACAAAAAATAAAAMAAAATAAACATTGTAAAAACAAATATATCAATTGCTCTGTTAACAATTTAAATCAAAATATAATAGTTTTGTCTCAAAATATGGTGTGTGTTTTTTTTAAATATTTCGATCTACTACGATATTTCAACCATAGACTAAATGTTAAAGACAATAAATGTAACACTGATGAGGGATTTACTTTTAATAACACACAGAAAAACAGTGAAAAAAAATGCATAGATCGTTTTATTGTTTGTTGTAAAGGATATTTTAATATTTTTGGAGTTGTTGAAATATACTGTTTTTAATTTTCTAAAACGCAGTAATAACAACAGTTGTTACTTATTAATTATTATTATCAGCTATTTAAAATTAATAACTATTCAATAATTATTTGAATTATTTATATGGTATCCATTTATTGTAGAGCTATATACAATATAATTTGTCTATTCATTTATTTAGAATATAAGAATTCTTATAAATGGTCTAGTTACTAGTATATTATCTTTCCTGATTAAAAATACTAATTTTTATATTTTACTTGATAAAAAAAATAGTTTTATCACATAATCTATATTAGTCACGATTATTGATAATGATATACTCGATGTTCATTTTTTTTTTTTACGTGATGCACTGGAGGTATTGTTAAAGCATCCGTATAAAATCCTACTCAACAATTCAAACAACAGAATACTATATATATAAAGAATGAACGACATTTTATTAACATCCCAAGG